GCGGGGCTGCGAGGCTTCGCATCCGTGCGGCCCGCGCCCCTCACCGCCGACGGCCACCGCGCGCCTTGCGAGCTGTGGCTGAGGTATGAGATTGCCGGCGAGGTTCGCACCCTCTGCGTCGAGGACGCCGCGCCCGTGCTGCTGGGCCGAGCCTCGGCGGCGCGAGGCGCGCGGTGAGGGAGGGCGGCACCCCGGCACGCAGTGTGACACACTCGACGGCTGTACGTCTGCGCAGTGTCTTCCCCATCGATACCACGTGCAGCACCCGCGTTCATGCTCTTTCCTCTATGCAGGGGTAAGCCATTAAGGTGTGGCCCAGGCCGTTGAACGGACATAAATTTTCTTGTTCGATGACGAAAACGGCCCACTTGTCGCTTGTGCCCGTTGATTCATGATTGAGAGGGGCCGGCCGGTCCGCGGGGTCGCCTGAGTTTACTTGGAGCACTTGGAGTGCGGTTGGCAACCTCAGATCCAGGGCCGGCGGGGACGGGCCGGGGCGGGAGCTAAGAAGCGCGCACCCAGCGGGCCGGAGAGGTGTGCCGCCGGCAGCGCGAGCTGCCGTCTATATTGAGCGGTTCAACCGCGTCGCGCACTCGTCCCAACCGGGAGCCGCAGACTTGTTCTGCGCGCCAACGGCTGGTGACGCTGTGTTGCCCTTGAGCTAGTCCTTCCCCGGTCGCCTACCCTCTGCGCTGTCTGGCGAACGCCTGTATGCCATGCGCGCGGACCACGCTTGCGTGGATACGTAGCTGGCAGGCTGACCCGTGTGCGGGGTAACCCGCGCACGGGGAAGCTTCACGGGTTCGAGTCCTCAAACATTAAGCAGCGGAGGTATGCCGAGGGGGACCGGGAGGCGGTAAGCCGTCGTTGCCCGGCGCTGCTTGCAGCACCATGGCGATGACGCTAAGAGGTTCCTCTTTTCCGCGCCGCCCCCCCCCCAAGGCGCGCGATACACATGTGCTCCGCATCGGGCTACGACGAGCTGGAGTAGACTGGGCGCTAGGGGGGTGCGCGGTCGCAGGGCCACGATAACACGGGTCTCCGAGGGTTAGTCCGCCGCGCTTTGCCTTTGGGTTTCCCCTAGCGGCGGAGCGCCACCCTCTACTCGGGGCTCTAGTAGAAGAGAATACGTACCGTTTGAGTTCATATTTACGCGGGAGTCGGAAAAAGTCTTTTGCGCGATGTTCCGCTAGAAAGAGGGGAAATGAAAAAAAGTGCCATTGGCTTTCAGAAAAAAAAACTTATTATTAACAACGAAGGCGCTTTCAAAAAAAACGCCTCTCAGCTCACCACCTCGCCTTCTCTGTCGCTCTCCTGGCCCAGTCCCATCAGTATCAGGCCTGAGGTGTCCCAAACCGCACTTGTCTCGGGTCTTCAAGCTCACGCCGGCTCGTAACACCCTACACACGGCCCTCGCACGCACATTACGAGCTCACAGACACCGCCGGCACGCACTCCCACTTCACACACGCTCAAGCACAACCCCACCAAAGCACAGTCCTGCTCAGGGTGGGCAAGGACCCCGCCACTTGGTGACCCAGGCCGCCCCTGGCTCGCCACTGCACTCGGCTCCTCTGCAGCTGTCTCGGGCTCTCCCACGACAGCACGCCGACGGCAAGCTTTGACGCCCGTCGGATGGACCTGCTGCGGCCACGGCCGATGCACTCATGCAGCTTGGTGCAGGCC